ACCTGCCTCCTAAGGAGAATCGTAAGCTAGCAGATCGCACCCCATTCATTGGTCACAGAAATGATCCTCCAGTGATCTGGAAGGATTAAATGCCTGCCTTTACAATGACTCAAACAATTTCTTTATGAATGCTTTAAGAAATTTCTCTGGAAAACCTACATCAAACAGTCTAAATATAATCACAACTCAATAAGGAAAACCTTCACATGCCTGAAAAAAAGATTGAAATGAAATCTTTTGATGAAGGACTGTTGGTAACTTATCTCTTCTTTTGGCTTTCCTATTTTTTATATTTTCCAAATCTTTAATAATCATATATAACATTTTTAATGAAAAAGTAAACTCTATATTTAAGAAGTTAACATCTTGAAGAAATTATTTTAAAAATATAAATTTTGAAGTTCTTTACCTCTAAGGTGGTCAGATCATGTTTATTGAGTGTTCAGCTCAGGACCTGTAGTACTTGAATATGGGCCTTAAGAGTCCTTCTAGGTATTTCCCTTAAACATTGTTTATTATTAATTGAATAATAGGTTGGTCTTAGAATTATTACTACTGTTTGGTGATTTACAAGTTACTTTAAAAGCTGAAAATTGGATCAGAATATACATTAATTACATTTTTTTCTAATTTAATATATATTACCAGAGTATTATAGCAGCATTATTAAACTTTTAAAATCAAATTTAGATCAGCTGTTATAAAGTCCTCCATGCAATTTGTATTGTTCCATTGATACTGTACGAGTGTACTTCGAAAAGTGTATGGAAAGATTCGTATTATCTTTTAATTCTGTTTTTTCTTGAACTTTTTGGAGTATCCTTGTATGCATTACTTGATATGCATTACTTATAAAAGGTGTACTCTGAAAGCACACTTAATCTGAACTAAAATGCTTCATAAAGTTATCAGCTGCTCTTTGGTTTATCATTTAGAAATTCTTATTATTACTGTGAACATTTAAAAGGATAGTTTATTTGAAAGTAATAAGGCTTGAAGTTTTCCTAGCTCACATTCTCACATATTTTTAGCTCCGTTTGTCATTTGATCTGAGTCTTGGGTCAATTAGCCATCTGTGTCAAATTGAGTAGAATGTTGACTATAGGTGGCAGCTCTGAGTGTAGTCAGTTAACATAGTGAATCAGTGAAACAGCTGCGTTACAGTGTTGTCTGTCAGCCTATTTTGAGATCCTCGTTTTATCTTAGTGTTCCCATTGTATTCGTACTTATTGTTACATAATTGCTGAATACACATTCAACTTTACATTTGTGGTGCTTTTATCCATTGTTTTTAATATTTAGAAATCTTATCTGGAACAAAACTCATCAAGCCTGCAGCTCTGGGTAAACCAGCTCCCAAAATTGAAAGTTGCCCGACTACTCCTAAGAAGTCTGAAGATCCTACAGAAATTGATTCTTGTGCTCAGTTTCAGACCGTAGGTATTAAATTTAAAATTAACATTCATAATATTTTTATGTTCCAAAATCATATTAAAACTAAATTATAAATAACAATATAATAAATACATGAAATTTATTTTCCTTCAAGTGATATTCTAATCATTCTTGTTGCATTTATTGATTTTCTTATACAGTAAAACATTATTACCCGTGTCATTTTTATTCTTTTTTTTTTTTTTTAAAAGATGACCGGTAAGGGGATCTTAACCCTTGACTTGGTGTTGTCAGCATCACGCTCTCCCAAGTGAGCGAACCGGCCATCCCTATATGGGATCCGAACCCATGGCCTTGGTGTTATCAGCACCGCACTCTCCTGAGTGAGCCACGGGCCGGCCCCCATGTCATTTTTATTCTTTGTGTGTTTTGTTTTGTTTTTTTCCTAACCACCTTTGTTCAAATTTTACATATAAATCCACTGTAAAGAAGTAATGCTTTTCCTTAAAAGGATTCTTCAGGATACTGTTGTGGGAACAAGGAGAAAGAATTATTTATGTTTAAAAGAGTTCAGGAAGCAGAAGAAAAATGGAGGGGTGCACAGGCCCTAATTGAACAAATCAAAGTCACATTTTCAGAAAAAGAGAAAGAGCTGGAAAATAAATTGGAAGACCTAAGGAGACAACAGGAAAAAGAACTCTACAAATTGAATCAAGACAATTATATTCTTCAAGCCAAGGTACTAGACATACTGTTCTATTTTTTCTTTTATTTAGTAAAAAAACAAAAAGACCGGTACTCTCTTCTAAATGTCTTGTCATTCTTGGTTCCTGGAGCTGTTTGCCTTGATATTTTGCCGTATAAAATATGCTGTAGTTCCATAAAGTGCCTCCTTCCCTGAGAGTGTGAACTGAACTCCTTGGGGGGAAATCTAAATTTAAATTAGCTCAGTTTGATGGTTTTCTTCTGTTAGCATTCTTTTTAAAAACAAATTGGTTAGTTCATTGTGACCTTCAAAGAAATCAAAGTTTCAGCAAGAACTGCTACAGAAGGTCTAGACTCAGAATGTTATTGTGTAGCATTTCTGAGTTACCTCATTCACCAGAACCATCAGCATAAAACATCACTGTGCTGATTCAACTGGAGTTGCATTACATTCCAGTGTGGACAATATCATAAGACAGTTTTGAGTCTAAACACCTTGAGTTTTCTATTATTCTTCCTCACTTCTCACTTCATCATTTCCTTCCTGAAATAAAACACTTTCTGCATTTTCTCAAAGTTAAGTAGCTTTGAAGAAACAAGCAAAAATCAAAGATGGTTACATTTTGGAAAAACAACTGATCCTGTCACTGGAGAAAAATTGAAGCAAATCCAAAAAGAAATACAAGAGCAAGAGACACTTCTTCAAGGATATCAACAGGTATGGCAATTCTTCAGTACATGGCCAGTTTGCTCTTGATCCTTTAATTATAAAAATAAGGCATATTAAAATATTTCTGTGCTAATTTAACAGGTAATGGGAGTTCTGGCAAATATGAGGAAGTAATAATTTGTACATTTTTCATGGGCAGGATTCAGGTGGCTAAAAGAGCATGGGTTCTGGATTCAAAGAGTCTGCCTTTGAGTCTTAGCTCTACCACCTGTTGTACAGCCTTAGACAAATTACTTTGATTCGCTAGGCCAGTTTCTTCATCTGTGAAATGGGGATAATAATAAAGAACCTCCCTCATAAGGTGATTAGGAAATTGAAAGTAAGACAGGACAAACCATCCTTTTAGCAAGTACACTCTTGGCCTGGCACACAATAAGCAATCAATGAATGTTGCCTATTACTATTTTTAATATCCAAGTCCCTTAGAGGCTATCCTGTTTTTCTTTAGTTTTCTATAATTCTTTTCAGTGGTAATACTTATTAGGTAGTTTTGCTATTATATTCAGAAATATGAACCTGAAATCAATTGCTAATGCTGTAAGGGTTAGAAAAGAAAATTTGAATTTAATGTGGAAAGATCTGTGTGTTCGTATAGAGACAGATGTTTGTAATGTATCCTGGAATTTCAGTGATGCTCCTTGACAGTCAGCCAGGACAGCTTTAGTGATCTGCAGCATAAGACTGTATCCTCATTCCCTGCCTCCCATGCCCGTTTTTCTTACTCCTTTCCCCTTCTCCTCTCTAATAGCATTCTTCTCTTTTGACGACTATAGCCTGAGCATTCAGCCTGCTAGTGACATGCATTGTCACCCAGGACATCCAGCGAAAACATTGCCAAGTCAGTGATTAAAACGTTTGCTCTGAATGAAGTGGACTGATTTTGCAGGACACACTGCCCTTGAGTTAGTGAGAAACATTCAAACCCTTTGCCTGCCAGTCTGATCTTGACATACAGAGCAGGGGTTTTAAGGAAATTTCACAGACCCATAAGTATGCCAACCACTCCCTCCCGCAAAGATAGTACAAAATTTATATATCTAAGTATTGGGGGCGGGGGCAGGAAGTGCATTAATTCCACAGGTATTTAAGCACAGACCATCTGCCAGGCACTATCTCAGACACTGTGAGACAGTCCATAGTTTTCATTAGATCCTCAAAAGCCCTTGGTTTTCATGAGATTCTTAAATTTAAAGGGGTAAGAAAGAGCATCTAAGCACAGATTGGTACCTTCTCTTCTCCCTCTGATCTCAACTGGTTTGAGTCATTCTTTAACTCAAATCCCATGGTGGACTGGGTCTAGTCTCTGCTCTGCCTTGTCCTGACAACTTTCAGAAGTACCCTGTCTTTAATTCCCCACTTAAAGTCAGTTTCAGATATAAACATGAACAGCACTGTGGCTACATCTAATTACCTCACCACTGGAAGCCAGCCTTCCAGAATCTTCCTCCAGCAGTGATTTTTTTTTTTTTTTCCTTTCTTAGACTAGTCACATTAAAGTCACAGAAGAGGATGTAAAGAGTCCCACTGGGCCTTGCCACCTCTGGTCCATGCAGTTGGGATGTAAGGATTCCTTCAGCCACTCTTCTGCTTACTCCTGTGAAGTGCAGTCAGTGCGTTATACTGACATTAGGGTCTTTGGCTTTGGGAATTTTTGCAACTTTTTTTTTTCAATTAAGCATTTAAGCATTTTGGAAAGAATTGTTTTAATGTTTTGCATACTCCAAAGCTGAAGAAATTTAAAACACCCTAGAAACTTTTAAAGTATTTATCTATTGTGAGCATATATGTTATATAAGTACTACTGACTTTAAACTAAAATGCAAGTTTCTGTTTTTAAAAGGAAAATGAAAGGTTGTATAATAAAGTGAAAGATCTTCAAGAACAAAACAAGAAAAATGAGGAGCGAATGTTTAAGGAAAACCAGAATTTATTCAATGAGTTAGCTTCCTTAAAGTAAGTCCTTTTGATATTCTTAAAACCAAATAGATTGTTTCTAAGCATTTTATCATTATATTAATAATACATTTATTTTTACTTAGAAATAGTAAAAACTTATTTTTACATTTATTTATTTTCATTTGTACACTGATTTTCAGTTTAATAACTTTTAGGTATTTAACATATAAAGGATTTTTCTTTGGGTACTAAATACTTTAGTATTCTCAGCATATTTATGTTGCGTTTGACATCAGTTTCAGGAAATCAAATATACTTATACAATATTCCTCTGATCAGTCATTAAGCCTGAGATGCTTAACCATTTCTTAAAGAACCATGTGATTAATAATAGTAAAGAAAATACCATGCAGAATCACTTACTGTCTTAGGTCAGGTTTCATAGAAGCAGAGCCTGGGACGGGGATCCCTTAGAGGTGATATACTGGAGGATAACCCTCAGGGGAGGAGAAGCAGGGTGGGGGAGGTCAGGGGCAGGAATGGAAGTAAGAATGTGGTCTTGGCTGGAGACTGGCTTCATGCTGCTCCCACCAGGAAGCTCTGAAGAGTAGATTGTACCACAGAGTTGGTCCTTGCTTGTTGTACCCTGGGAAGGGGGCAATGACCGCTGTTTTGCTGAGGGCATTTCTCCAGAGAGGGAGACACTGGTGAATTGTTACCAGCCAGCACTCACCATAGCAGGACAATGGAGAACCGACACCTATTTAGGAATCCTATTTCAGACTGGAAAATCTTCTGGATGTTACTACCTCCACCTTTAACATATTATGTGAAAAAGCCGAACCCACAAGTGTGGACAAGCTAGGGTACTCTTCTTTTAAGAAATGACTACTGTTTGTGCATCATTTCTCATAAGTGCCTAATCACTCAGATAGGACTGTTATCAGAAGTTTCTTTGACCATGAATGTCACCATATTTATTCATGTATTTCTTCAATTTTTTTTTGTTAGATAACCTACGGCATAAGAGGCAAGATGTAATAGGCAGGGCCACCAATAGCTCATTCTGATCTTTCATGCAAAATAGAAAAAGGAACACCCTGTAGCAGACAAAGCTAGAAGCTACACAGGGTGACAAGCAGAGGGCACCTTTGTGTAAACTTTTTTAAAAAATTGCTCCTTTGTCCTGGTAGGTGTAACCCTAGGCCAAGTATGGTAATCCGCACAATTCTGATACGTGAAAGTAGTTACGTCTGCTTTCTTTCCAACTGCTTCAGTAGTTTAAAATATCACATCTTATATTCTCTGGCTTCTAAAAGAGAAGATCTATTCTAAGATCCAAAACCCAAACTCTAAATTTACCTTTGCAATGAAATTCTTTAGCACATGGAGGTTAAATGACCTTATGTGGATTTCTAAACTTCTTGTATAATGTCTCTGGAGTAGACTGTGTTTGGTTTTGTTGGTTACTTTCCATGTGTAAGATTGGTAATTTGTGTTTGTCAGAAAGGGATCTAGCATGATGTGCAAGGAGTACAATAACTCCATAGGAAAAATGCAGCACATCTTTCTGGGCCACTGATTTTTGTCTCTAAAAATTGGGAAGAGAGGGCCGGCCCGGTGGCGCACTGGAGAGTGCGCCACTTGGGAGCGCGGCGGCGCTCCCGCCAAGGGTTCGGATCCCATGTGGAGACCGGTTCCCGCTCACTGGCTGAGCGCGGTGCGGGTGCAACACCGAGGGTTGCGATCCCGTTGCCGGTCAGTAAAAAAGACAAAAAGG